GGGGGGGGGGGGGGGAAATAGCCAGTTCATCACCAAAATGCAAGGCCTGACAGTTGTAGCTGCCTCTGTTCTATAGAACAGGGTAAAAAAACATCCGGTAGAAGTGTACAAGGTGGTAAAATGTTCACAAAAAGTGAGCACAGGATAGACCATTTCTTCCCCATAATGCACTGGAAAAAGGACCGAGCCAACCGAATGGACTTGAAAGCAACAAGTTTGCCCAAGCTAAGAGATGAGAGAAAAACCCCTTTACTGACAAAATGCATAAGTGTGGACATGCTGTATTATAAGGACTTCCTAAGAAGAAAGAGGCTAAGTGACAGGAGTCGAACTCATGTACCCAAAATAATTCCAAGTGAGAACATGAAGAAAATGTCACGCAGGAACTGTAATACAAAACTAGAACAAGTTTTCAAGTAGGTAACAATACACAAAGCCTGCTATGACCTCTAAACACAAAAAAAGTAAACCAATACATGCTTCGATGAGCAAGCATATCATCATGTATGTATTACTATAACAAAAAGCGTATTAAAATTAGGTAAAGAAACACAAGCTGACATCTACTGAAATAAACACACATCATGCAGGGCCTGCAAAAAGAAGAAAATGGTAATAGGGTGAAATACATAAAATATTTATCATATTCAGCAATGCACAAAATAGATTATGATCTCGGAAGCAAAGCTTGAAAATGGATATAATGTTTTAAAATACTGTTATTCTAAGAAGTGTAAGTGAAGGCAGAATACAATGGAAACACTAAAAGCTGTATATTTGTGCTGCAAAAGATTAGTAAAATTGTTACTGAAAGGGTGTATGCTTTACAAAGAAAAACAAGAAACATGCTTTACAAAGAAAAACCAAGGGGAAAACGTAAATGACACTTTCTTTAGCTCATGATCAAGGGATACCCGTCTAGCAGGTTGTTTATTGAGAAACGGATCTTTTTCCAACAGATGGGCTAAATAAAATTCAAAGTTAGAATCATTTACTATTATATTCAAATGATTAAAAAAAACCCCAAACCGTGAGCTATTTGTTTCAATGCAAACTTGGTGGAAATCATGGAGAAGGTCAATACCGTATCATATTTAATCTTTTCTGACTAGTCTGTTGCACTAACCTTTGTCAGATGAAAAAAAAATGCTGACCACCAAATTAAACTGAAGGAAAGAAGGAAAATGCCAAAGAAAGTGGCAATGCATATGGGGGAGAAAGTACAGAATATTAGGGGAAGATACCCTTAGTTTGATGACAAAATAGCTAAAAAACAAAACATCTTCTAAAAAGGCTTATAGCTGCAACAAAGAATGTTTAAATATATGTTCTAAAAGTACAATCCTATATTAGTCAAAGTAACTTAAAATGCTCAAGTGAAAACAGAAAATGATTAATCTAAAAAGCAGAGTGTAAATTACAAGAGTGGGGAGATAAAGATCTGATAATACTGGAGCACAGGAGGCCTAATAATGATATTATTATGCACACTAAGCAAACACTGACAAACAAATATTCTGTTAATTATATAATCATGCACATGCTTCCTATGCTCAAGATAAATGGTTACGAACAATAACTGCTATTGAAACTATATGCATGTATTCTGTAAGCTGCATACTATACTGATTAACTTAAATTCTTTTATAATCACGTACTTCTGTTATTTGTTATAGAATGCACACTGACCAGTGTAAAAAACTTTGCTTAGGATAGAAAACAAAAATTATTAGAAACTATTGTGCCTGCAATTGTGAATTTGAAATAATTGCATTTCTCTGATCAATATAAAGTTTGTTGAAATGTAGTTCACAGATTTAAGATACTAATACGTGATCTTTATAGTGAAAATTTGCTAACAGGCTTACCAACTGACTTTTATGCCTGCTTACATTCACGTGCATCAACTTTAATATTAGGATAGCCCTTGGGAAATAAAGCAACTATTTGTATTTATTTAAAAAAAAAAAAAAAACAGAAGATAGGCAAGTATTGTGGTGGATTTATACATAGTCAGTTTAAATGCAATGATAATCATACATTTCTTGATCTACAGCTGAAATGAAAAGACAAATATGAAATTTACTAAAAGCTGCCACAATCTTAGAAATAAATACATTTTGGACTAGATTAGGCATTCCTAAAAGGACATACTAGTAGAAGAAAGTTTGTGTGTGTCCAGTTTCTAAACTGGGATGGGATGGCTCTTGCTAAAATCAGTTAGTGCCTCTCTCACTAGCTGGGTTACAGAATGAATACCCTAAGTGGATGTTGCCTCACACTTTCTCTTATTGTTAAATAAGTTGGTGGGCATTGTGGGCCAAGTCCTGAAGTCAGTAGGATGATTCATATGTAGCGTAAGTAGGATATGACCTGAAACCACAACAGAATTGGCACTAGAGTGCTCTATCAGATTTGTGTGCAGAGATCATGTTGTGATTGGGTTTTGCACATTTGTGTTTCTGACATGTGGCCATTAGCGTTAAGTCTTAAGTAACGGCCTGTGTGGGAGGTGATGCAGACAGGCTACAAGTGCAGCAGGAATCTCTAGGGAAATTCTGACTGGTTCCTAGAGAGTGTTACAACAGAACTGCAGCGCTCCGTTTCATCAAATGAAGCATACAGCTAAGCGGGTATCAGGTCAGTTTGCTGGTCATTGAGGGAAAAGGAGACTACTAACCAGTACCTTTCAAGAAGTTAACGTACACAGCCAGTAGCACCACAGTAGCTTCACTCCTGACGGGGTTTATCCCTATCTGTACTTCACATCTTTCTCACCTCATAGATCAGTGCAACGTTAGACATTATCAAACCCATGTCTACACCCATGCATACTTTGTACCTTTATTTAACATGTTCCCCCGTCTGGTACTTCAATACAGAATTGACTTCCTAGTTATTTCTTCACAAGATGTAACCTTGAAAAATTGTTATCTAAAACTACAGTTCAAACAGCTTAGCCAACTGGACTGTGACAATCACAAATTAATTATAACCCAAGAATTCTATGTGCGCGCAATACACATTGCAACATTCTGTGACATTCATCTAAGCGAACGGGAAGGTATATAGCAAGCTAGTTTTGGGATTGACACCTGCCCTGGCCTTGCTAGTATGCTTGTCAAAAAGGCATGCTACATAAGCCGTTGTCTCCTCTCACATTTTCATAAGCAATTTTGATTCATTTGTGTTCTTTCATATATGATGATGTGAAACGGTTACATAAAATGAATATTTAACTTGTAATAGTCAGCTGTACTAAACTGTACTTAATTGCTTATTAAGTGAAGTTAATTATCCTTACTGTATCTGTCAGAGGTGAAAAACCTACATACATGGCTACATGTAATGCACTCCTTAGTTTACAGACCAAGAATCCCCTAGGAAATATCAGCTATCTACATGATGTCCCATAGTGCTGTATTTTATATTGGGATGTGTCATTTAGTTTACAGCCGTGTACACTCACATACCAAACAGACACCTTTCTACTGACTACATATC